GAATTTCATGATCAATAACAGGACAGACGCATGAAAAACTGACGTCAATTTGTTAAATAGATTTTCTTTCGAACTTCATGTTACCTGTCGGCTGCTTACATCAAGAGAACGTAAATTTTGAAATAAAAAAAAGGGGATCGTTTAGGAGCAGGGGGACCTTCAATAAACCCCATAATTCCTTAAATTATCTGCTTTCAGAAACGTTTGTATTTCAACCATTCACTTTAAGCTTTGTGAGAGCAGAAAAATGGGGGAAAAGTTAAGTGAGAAAAACATCAATAGATGTACTGCATCATTGTTAAGGAACAAATTGATGTGCATTTCATGATAAAGGCACCCACATTTAGCTGACAGGCATTCAATATGTTCCAGGCACGCAGTGTTCTTAAGAGCACATATTATTTTTTGTGAGTGCTAGCTATGTTTTATTTTCAGTGATAGCTTTTTACTCTGCAATAGAAATTGGCCTATATATTTACTGTATAGAAAGAAGGTGATTGCTGCATTCGAACAAAATGGAAAAAAAAATCGTTGGGTCCCGGTACTCGTTTCCGAGAAAATAGATTCTTTATAATGGAGTAAGGGAAGGTACGTTTTTAATTGGGAGGGGGAGGGGGAGGGTCGGGGTATTTTAGGAATTTTTTTGCCAAAAGTCGTGGCCCTCCCACTTCCCAGAATGGATTAATGCATGACCCTTCACAAATACGTACACAAAAACATCTGACCCTCTCCCCATCTCCTCCAGGACAAAAATAACCGGAAGTGAAAATAACTAACCGGAAGTGTTACTCACATAACTCGTCTGCACACAAAGCAGTTAATTGCGTGGCGTGTGATTGCATGGTGAAAACTTGAAAATGGGCAAGGATGTGCGAGGAATAGAAAGAGGGAAATGCGCTTGTGGTGAATGCGAGGATTTCATGAGGTCAGATGGAGCAACTTGTGGCTATTGTGGCTGTTTGCCGACTCGCCATTCTAAAAAGGATGCCCGATACTCCTCTGACTCTGTTGGTGGCATATCGGGTGCGCGAACAAGTGAACCTGCAAGTCCAGGGAAGTGGAAAGATGAAAACCTGGGGTGGTTCCCGAACCCAAAGGGCGAATATACTGAATTCTCGAACAGTATTCTGCCAAAATTCTACCTGTCCTTTTGGACCACTTGTCCCTACAAGGAACGCTTTCGCCGCTGTTTCGTGACTGAAAGAAAGCGCCAGTGGGAAGTTCGCAAGTCTTTGAAAGAAATAAATCACAAGTTGGCTTTTGTGACTTCTGATAATCCAGCGGCTGCCGGGAGATTCATGGAGGAAAATTTTCGCGCAAAACGCCATGACGCTACCGCGATTAAGAACAACGTTGATGATTGAGGAATGTTGAGGAAAGTGAACTAGTCAGTGGGAACAGAGAGGCTATTAGAAAGTTTTCAGATAAACACATTGTCCCCGAAAAAGCTTGGGGCTGAGTATGTTGAGCACCTTTCCCGGATAAAAATGCGCAAGGAGAAGAAGAAAGAGGAGACTGAAAGGGAGCGAATGGAACGGCTGAAACGGAAGTACAATGACATTGACTGGGTTGGACTGTACAACTCCGATAAGCTGTCGTCCTTGAGGG